TGGAGCGGCCGGGGGCCTCCAGCAGTGGGGGACCCCTGAGCGTGTGGGGGAGACTCCACGTGCAGACGGACGGACGCCCTGGACTAGGAGCCTCGGGGTGGGGGGGGGTCCCCGCGGCCGAGGGCGACGCTGAGGGTGGGTGTGGACCGGAGGGTGCGCGCAGCGCGTGTGAGACCCGCGGGGGGCGCAGGCAGACGGCGAGCTAGAGGCTCCTGCTCCGAGTGTGGTTGAGTTGGAGGTGGGCAGCGAGGGAGCGAGCGGGGCCCCGCGTGCCCCTGACTCTAAAGGCTGAGAGTGGCCCTGGCGGGGGAGCCTGTGGGCTCCGGGCGAGCCTGCGCCTCGTGGCAGCGCGGGAGGCGCGACCCAGGGCGCGGGACCCCCAGGCGCTCGTGCCGGGGAGTGGTGGGCGTGCAGCGGTGGGGGGAGCCTGCGCCGTGTGGGATCCCCCGCGTCGTACATGGAAGGAGATATTTGTAGAACATTCTGAAAATTCTTCACTAAGCACTAAGCGAATGGCCCGGTCACCGGGTTGTGTAATGGTTGGTATAAATAGGATTTAATGTAACAGATGTTTTTGAGTGCCCTGGGCTGTGTGTTTGGTGACACAGTTGAAAAGACTCTGACTCTGCCCTTGATGGGGGCGAGGGGGAGTGGGGGGAGACATGCCCCCACCAGGGAATCATCTAGCACTGTGGTAGCAAAATGCTCTCTCCCATCTGGCGCTTATCTGTCAGAGCTGCTCCCTGATTTGAAGATCTGGGAGGAACAGACTTTTCTAAGAAACTGTGACGGCTTCCTGAGATCTTTTGCCTCTTTGCTTTACCCTGGGGCGGTTCAGGAACCTGTCTCGGCTGCCTAGCTTTCTAGAGTCCTAATGCGTGCTAATCACTCTTGCTTCCCCGCTCAGGTCTTAGATGACCTTCAAGTTCTTAAACTTGATTTTCCTCGCCTGATTAATAGGTGGAAAACCACCAGCCGTATTTTCTCCTCTCCTCTTCTTTCCCTGCCTGGTGGTGGACATATTTTTTTTATTGTAGACCAAAAGTAAATACCGGTTTGGTAGTTAATCTCCCTAGCACTTTTCACAGGAAATTTTCTGATCTCTGCTCTCTGTGCTTCCTACTGCAGTCTCTGGGATGTACATGCGTTTCTACAAAAGTGCCACAAAAACTCATGGAACCTGGGGCTCTGGGAACAGCTGCCGTCTAGACATAGGTGGTTTGAGATGACCAGCTTAGTTCTCTTGAGGCGTTTGAGCTGATTGTTTCGGTTACACCCCAGTGTGGGTGTGATGGAACTTCCCAGTAATTGCTGCCTCTGCTGGGCACGTACAAAGGAAAATATTGTCTCACTGCTTACAAGGTCCTTTTATATATATA